GGCCCCGAAGGCGCCGCGAGGCCCCCCCTGCTCGGCCTGCCGGGAGGGCTGCGGGGGGATCCTCACCACGCCGTCCTCGTCGCAGGGCTTCTGGCCCAGCTCGGGCAGAGGAGGCTCCAGGAAGCTGGGACTCTCCTTCCCGATGCAACAGGCAGAATCCACCCTCCCAAAGTCTTCCTGCTGGGAAACCTCCTCCTGCTGGTGGGCGTCGGGGGGGTCCGGCCTGGGGGCGAAGCGAAGGCCGCCCTCCTCATCGTCGCCGTAAGGCTCCTCGTTAATGGCACTTGGGTAGCTCGCCTTGAAGTCCTCGGGGATGAGGGCCTCGGAGGGGCACGTGCTGAGCACCTCGATGCTGTCCTCGCTGACGGTCCGCCGGCTGCCCGCCTTGCTCCTGCCCGCCTGGGGGCTGGGGCTGACGGGCAGGCTGGCCTGGCTCTCTGATTTCGTCAAGCCAGAGGTGGATTTCTCCGTCCCGAGGACCTCGATGCTCTCCCCGCTGCTGATGCTGCCCTTGATGTCTGCATCGAGATAATCCAGGTTCTCCTGCTGCTCAGAGGTGATGGACTCGGTCATCCCAGGCTCCTGGGAGTCCTCGATTTCCTGCTCCATCTTGATGGGCACGCTCTCCACGCTGGACTTGTAGGACCCCAAGCTGATGACCACTTGAGGAGCCGGGGACTCTTCCAAGCACTTTCTATCCACAGCATCTCGGCTGAGCTCCTGGCAGCCTCTGTACTGCTGTTTTTCAGGTGGTTTTTCATCCAGACAAGACACGTCCTCAAAGAGGAAGTTTGTGACACTTTGCTGCTTTAAGAGCGCCCTGCTGATCTGCTCCGTCAGGAGGTAGCACACGTCCCCCCTGAAAGTCCTCTCGATCTGCTGCAGCTGGTCCAGGGTTTGGGTGAAAAAATAAATATCACAGAGCTCCTCCAGCGTCTTCAGCTTCTTGTCAAAGCACTTGGCAGACTTGGCTTTGATGAGCTTGGGGGTGTAGGACGGCGCGTGGGTGTAAAGGGGTGTTTCACCAGGGTTGGAGGGAGCCAGCTCCGGGTCGCAGCCCCCACTGGCCCCATCTGGCACACACTCTGGCTCATAGGGGTGAAAATCAGGCTCCTTTGCCTTCCTGTAGGGATACGACCTGATCTGTTTCAGCAAATCTTGGTGCTCAATGATGGATTTCTCCACGCTGGCCAGCTCGTTGGCCTTCTCAATGGCCTGGGTCGTGTAATACCCTTTGTCGTTGGCTTTCTTCTGTATCTCGGTCTCGTTGTGCAGGACGGTCCTGGTGTAGTCCAGATCTTTCAGCTTCTTTTCCAGTTCGTTGGCAAAAGCTTTCCTGTTCCCCGTCTTCAGGCATTCGGAGGCTTTGGAGAACTCAGCAGAGAGCTCCTGGAACTGCTGCATGATTTTGTGCTCGTCGGCAGAGATGTAGGCCATGCAGAAGGGCCTCACGAAGCCCCTGGCTTCCAGGTCGTACAGAGTCAAGTGGTGGACGTAGGCGAAGGCCCCTTCCTTCGAGTCCCCCAGCACCACTTTGGAGTCCTCCACAAAGTTCAGTTTCGGGTAGGCGGAGCCGGGGGGGTGCCCCACGAAGGAAGCCTGGTAATCCACAGACATGATCCGCAGGGCAAAATAATTGAGATCGAAAGTGCCCGACACCTTGGCGTCATCGGGGATGGTCAGGAGGGGCTGAGGCCCCACTTGCTCCGAGAACTCGGAGATGAGGATGAAGTCCCGGGTGAACTTGGAGCCGGCGACCTTGGCCCAGGGGTTGGCGCCGTGGCCGGCAAAGGGCAGGA